CAAGCTGTTTTAATAATTAAAAACAAAATAAATTTATAAAAAACCCTTTTAAAAATAAAGAACTTTATTACATATTTTTAATAATTTAAATATTGTGTTAAAAAAAGACATTTATTTAAAGTTGCATAATTTAATGTCTATTAAATTTTTATTAAACTTTTATATTTTTTGAAAACGAATATTTTTCATTCCCATTTAAAAAATTCTATTCAATTTTAATATTCAATGTCAATTTTAATATTTTTTTGGTTATCTTTAAAAATTAAAGCATATGAACTGTTAAAAATGTTTGCAATTGTCGAAAATGTTCTATTAATCGAACGAATATTCATTTATAAATAATTAAGAAATGCCTTATTTAAGAAACAAACTTGCTTGAATTAAGTTGCAGATTTGCCAGGTTGGAGATACAAGTAAAAAACACTTAAAAAATATATTGCAAATTAAAAAATAAAATAAAAACGCAAGAACAGTTTCTCCGCGCAACCAACCAGTTTAAATACAAGTTTAATTTTCGCATAGTAACCATTTTATCCATATATTTTGTCCGCTTATTCCTAAAGCAAACTTCTCTTTGAAACACGGGAAATAATTAATTTTTGTTTTTTACCTTTCTTTATTATTCCTATTCTTTACAACAGATCCATTTAGCAAAACATGTTTTGAATGTAGTAAAATACTCATTATTCTTCATTATGATAAAGTGCTGCGAACAATGAAATAAAATTTTAACTTAAAAAATAATTCCATAATCCAAGTTGTGTTAATCCAAGAATAAACCAGCTTATGCTTCATTTTCTCTTCATGTTTTATTTCGTGTATTTTTTAATAATATCAGTAAAATATCTGCACGCAATCTACTACTCAGAAAAATATCTACACTAAGAAACTGTATTTAGTCTAAAAAAATGGAAAATGACTGAAAAATGTATGATAGAAAATATAATAATTATGACTTTCATTAATCTGATTATAATTATGCTTTCCCGGAATATTCAACCAATCCTAGGTAATATAATTATACGCATACATTACTGATTTATTGATTAACTATCTTACAATAAATGCTTCTACTACATTTTAGGGGATGTTAACTCATATAATAGAGTAACAGGAAATTCGGGTAATATGGATTAACATTTGCAATGTTACTGACTTAATAGACTAACAAACAAAACAAAATTTTAACTAGGTATCTAACATAATAAGTCTTACCAGTTAATACGAAATAACTTAGATTATGTACAATCCGATCCGATTTACTATTTTGAAAAGCAATTAACTCTCCTTGAGCTATATTTCACTAGTTAATATCTTTTTTATTACGAAATCACGTGATTAGTGACGAAATGGGAAATCTCAAATATATGACGAAAATGTAACTCAACTTGAAACCTCATCGTAGTCCATTGTGGGAGACTGTTAAATAGAATGACTGAATTGGGATAAGACTAGGCGATCGAAAAGATATAGACGCAATAAGACGGCTAGTATGTTTGCAGGTCAAGGAGTTGCCCCCGTCCCAGGATGATCCTGGGTTCAAATCGCGTTTCGGGTGTGCGTATAATTATTCTTTGTTCCATTTCTCGTGTTATTAAGGTGATATTTACCCAGCTATATGGTGACCACCATGAAGTGATTGTTAGAGAAGTTAAGTACATTAAGCTTTACATTTGTTTTTGAACAAAGAGAGGGGTGAAATATTTCTTTGCTATTTACAAATATCGTTTCCTCGAATAAGTGACAATACCTATTTTGTCACTTTGACAAAATGTTTGTTTGGGGCATATAGCAGAAAACGGATTCGTCAAAAACGAATTTCATGAAATTTGAATATCCATTTTCACAGTGTACTTTATTTCTTAGCTTTCTTAAAAATTTAGCTATCCTTGTGGTATACATAAGCCTTAGTTTCACTAATCATTATGAATTTTAAGAAATAAACAGCATAAATGAATAAAAATCGGATAATAAATACTCGTTAAAATCAACCATGATTATGCTGATAAATATGACAACTCATAATCATAAAAGCACTCTATGAAGTAGTTGTGATGGTAATTTAAATTAAAGTTTAAACATAAACACATATTAGTGGTATATTCCTTTTGCCACCTTATATTTTGAATATTAATTCCAAATATATATATAACCAAAACTACTTTGATATTTAATATTCTTCTTCTAAATAAAGAAATAATTTAATGATAATGCACAAATATCACAATTCAGAGCTATTATAGAAAAGTAAAGGTTTTTATTCTTTTATGTAATCTTTCTCTCAAAGAAAGTTAACTTAATTCCCAATTCTTATTTCAAATTTTAAACTTTGCCTGAAAATTAATTTTTCAAAAGATCTTCGCTACAAAATAAAAGAAGCAAAAATTTCTAATACGACGAAAATATACGTTTTACGATTACCAATTGCGAAAAAGTACAAAAAAAAACAAATTTAAAACAATAAAAACGCGCTTTTTCAAGGAATTCAATTTCGATATCCCTCTCTTCACAAATTTAGATGTAAGAAATGCACTTTAAAAATTTTCAATGTTCGCAAAGTGAAGTTGATATGAATTATTTGGGGAGAATTTGACTTTAAAGCTCCCTTTGGGATATTTTTCAGTAAGGTGGAAAAAATGTATATTTCCCTGAACCGATCCCCTATTGTGTCAAGCTACGAGCTTGACAGAATTTCCGGGGGTCTGCACAGAGCAACCCTTTTTATCTGACGCTTCTTATTCAAAATTCCTATCTTCCAACAACCCAATAGAAGGCGGTGAGTAAAAAAAAAGAATAATAAAAAGGGTCTTCAGCATGAAAAATTCATCCGGGTGAAAGTTGTGCTTCATCGCTTTTTGAAAACTTGGCATCTTTTAAAACCGTTTATCGACCCTCTTGCTGAGCATTTATGTATGACGGAAGTTGGAGCTAAAGATAATCGAATGTGCTCTGCTGTAAATTGAAAAGAAAATAATCTATTTTAGAATAACTTCATACGCTATTATTATTTTTCACTTATTATTTTCATTTTGTTGACATTTTCTAAAATTAAATTCTTTTGTTAACTTTACTTGTTTGACATAAAAACCATTTGGAGCTATGAAAAATGTGGAAAAAATGTATAATAAGTTTGATATCATCATATTTCTTCAGTATATTTCGAGGAAATTGTCAATGAAGAAGACTTCTTTTACTTTAAAATTCGGTTTTTCCAAACCATTATTCTTGTAATGTATTTTACGCTAAATTGTTAGATGATCTTGAATTTTAAATACGTAAGCAAGTGTGTTTTAATAACATTCAAAATTTTATTGTATCACAATATAATTTTTTGACGATAAATCATACTTATTGTTACAAATTTTTATTGGAAATAATCGAATCATATAAGTACATTTTAAAACGTTTTTTATTAAAAATTACATAATTGTAATCAGAATTAATTAAAAAAGCAATTTTTCGCAAGAATATTAAAAATGACTATTTGTTTTCCTTATTTTTTTCCGAGTAAGAATGTCTTAGTTGTACTTACTTACATTAAGTACTGTTATAACTGTACTAAATTCAAATAAAAGCAGTCCAAAGCAATTAGAAATTAAATAGGTAAAGAAAACTTTTCTAACGTTGCGATTATAAAGTTGGATATTGATTAAAGTTATTTTTTTAAATATCTGTACTAAATGTTTGATTTCATTGATAAAATTATGTATAGATTTTTATTCAATTTTACAAACTAGGATGATTTGCTGCATTTCATTATTTTTCCTTTAATTATATTTTTCCGATACAAATGTTTTTTTAAATGGCTATGCCGATTTTGTTTGGAATGAAGGGGGTTAAAGCTAACTTTTGTAACTATGCATGGGCTATTAAGGAATTAATTTCACAAATTGGCACATCAAAACCAATAATTTTATAAACATAAATATTTTCTACTACTGCGTTTCCTTAAGATTAGGTTTCATACCTCTCACGAGAGATATATTTTTTCTCTGAAAGGAGAATCGAATGTCGATTTTCTTTTGGAGAAAAAATGACTGAAATTGTATGAAACAATGAGTACAACTTGCTTTTATTTTCCACCAACATCACAGATGTTGTACAGATCGTACACTGTACAGATCGATATTTTTGTTAAATAAAAAGTTCTTCCTTATGCGTTTCTTTAAAATCGTTCATTTTATTTTGATTTTAAGACAAATTTTTTCTGAAAACAATGAACAAATTTCAAATTTTTGATGATTAAAATATGCATAATGATTTAATTCATTAAATTATTACAAAATTTAGTCATCATTATAGTATATACTTAAGTTTTGAAAATTGACATTTATAACAAAGAGCATATCGCTTATGAAACAAATATAATTTTTTATGCAAGATTTGAAAAAAATATTCCAGTTCAAGCAGTAACATTTCTAAGAATCACAATTTAATATCGATTTGATCAGGTAATAAAAAAAACTTCAATTATGGGTATATAATGGGAACTTTAGAAATTAATTTACATTAACACCACAGAAAAACCGAGTATATGCTAAATATATGCGTATTATTATTATTATATGCGTTCCCATAAAATGTCACCATTCACTTTGACTTTATGTCTGAAATGACTTATTTTTGTAACATTACAATGACCACTTAAAAATTATTTAGATGTTACACAATTGACTATTTAAAATTTATAATTTAAGTTTGCCCTCTCAAACCGTATATTTTAGAAAATAAATGCTTTATAAATGTGCCATGTGTATAAATGTAAAGGGCACAATATAGTTAGCACTCAGTTGTAACTTAACTGTTAACATTGTTAAATCACGTCAATAATTGTTATACAATTACTTTTATAGCAACTAATATCATGATTTCTTAGTTTTTGATATCTGAATGTTAGATTTTTCTTATTAAAATTTTCTTGCTATTATTTTTTAATTATTACTTATTTTTAATTATTTTTTACTTGATGCATTTGATTTTAACTGAGAAATTATTTCCAGTTGCTGCGCACTTCAAAACGCCATTTCGAGTACACCGTGTCTCAAAGGATTCTTCATTGAGCGTCCAGTGTGAAGCGTTTGGAGAAAAACCAATAACAATTGAATGGTACAAAGATAAAGTTGTTCTGAATTCTAATTCTGATACAAGGTAAAATTATCTACGATTTCAAATAAGATTTTCTTAACCTAAAAACATGCTATTCCTTTATATTTGAATAGCGTAAATGTTATTTGCGTAGCTCTTTTAAGTTCAATTTTAAATTTTATATAATTTTAAATTTTACTTTACTTGTATATAAACTATAAGTATTATAGGCTTGTGTTTTTTCATACATTGCTTCAAATGTCTTTCATTAGGAAGCAAGATTTTTGTATAGTTGTAAAGCAATGTGCACAAATACCAATAAGAGTGAGGCAGTTTGAAATTAAGATAAGATACACTGAGAAAAAAGTATCGTCAAAACTACCAGAATATGGTAAAACTAACTATGTTTCTAACTCCTTCAGAATACCAAAAAGCTCTATCATTTTCACCAAAACTCTTGGGTAATGATTTTCAAAAATAAACAATAAAATAAACTTTTATAATAAATAATAAGATTTAAAATAAGGTAAAATTTGGTAATTTTATTATGATACCTTAGAGCGTGACACAAAACTGATTTATTTTGTCAAATTTGCTTTTCTGTTTTGAATTTTTTGCAAAATGAGTGATAATACGAACTATAAGATTTAAAACCACAAATTCCGGTAAACCGCTTCAATATGAGGGGAAAAATTATCAAATAAATAGTTAAAGTAATGTAGATTTCGGTTTATTAAACAGCATTTTTCTACAGTAATTCACCGGATTTTTTTTCTCTAAGTATGATTGCCAATAGTTCTAAACCATCCCGATCGGAGAATATATTTCATAATTCCGTTGCGAATAAAAAATATTTGCTACTTTACGAATAAAAACTTGAATAAAAGTATTTTTTATCTAAATTAGACTAAAAAGGACATACAATAATAATTCTGATTTTTCCAATATTCTCTAAACAAGTGGAAACAAACGTTAGTTTATTTCACTGTAAAAATTTCCGTATCAAAATACGGTACCCATTTTATCGGGAAATCCATTTTTACAGGGACATCTTACGGAACAAAAACTCTGATGTACCGCAGTTTTTGCATTAATAATTTTTCTGTGAAATCACTGAAGGACTCTAATTAACTAAATATTACTGTAAAAGTTACGTTATAATATTTTACGGTAAAAAGATTTTGTTCGGTAAAAATAAATGAAAAAATAAAAATCGTTATAATGGATTTTAAGAAAAAAATACTTTACAGTAAATTGAATTTTACGGATAAATCCAGAGTGTTCTTTAAACGGTATCTTATTTCATTCCATTAACATTGTGTTAATGAAATGAAAACAAAAATATAGCTTTGCAGATTTTTGATGCAGTCAATCAAATCTGCATATAAATAGTATACTAAAACTTCAGTAATTCACAATTTAGTAGATTTTTTTTCTTTTTATGTCAGCAAAATTTACTGTGTACGCTTACTATTATATATGGATCCATATCTCAGTACTTTGTTACTAAATAGCATCGTAATATTAACTAACGGTCTAATTCCTTCAAAAATTTTGTCATGGTCTTTAACGAATCACATTGGAATTAAAAGAAATTTCCTGCATGACACGACAAAAACACTTGATTCTTTTTTATTTCAAATGCTTACGGCACAAGTTTCACAAATGGTAAACTCACAAACAAGTAAACAAAACTTCTACTTCACAAATAAATTATCCAACCTGTTCCTATCAAAGCGTTTTTTAATGAAATTCGACTTGCCTTATGAACAATTTAAGACGATGTTTACTTATCTGTGATTCGTTTGACATCACGGTAACTGCCCTTGCATGTTTTATCTTAAATAAAGGCTTTTTTGTGTATAATTATGTTAGTTTTTTGTTTAATAAAATTTTTTGTCCTTTAATATATCGTTTGAATCAGTCTATATTAAACAGATTTTCAGACACTTAATTCTAATCAAAAAAAATTTTTAACTTAGAGACGTTATTATGTTTGCTTATTTTTCATTGTTACGTAATTTCTTGAGAAAAAATCTTAAATTTCAAATTTCAATTTCAATATTCAAATTTCCAAAATTTAAATGAAAATGACATAAGCATGTTTAAAAAAAAAATTAACAAAAATAGTTTTAGTGGCATTATTATCATTAGTGTCTTAGAGAAACGATCCAAAATTGAGCCATTTTAAAAAAGATGTAAAAGCAGCTGTTTCCCTTTCTTGATTTTTTCAATTAACAATCTATTTTTAATTTCCTTTGAACTATTTTTCATATTTTTTAATAAATCTTGAGCATAAAAATTCCAGTAAAAATGTCTTCAATCCCCAATACCATTAATGTCTGAGGCTTAAAAATAATTAAAAGAAAGTTTTTCAACGTATACTTTCTTCCTTTTTCATTGTTCTTAAAAAAATCTTTTTCAATAGATTTTTTTTGACATTTGAATAGAGATTATACGAGCTTATTTACTTTATTTACTTTTAAAAAATTATAAAAAGTCTTATTCGATGTTTTTTTTTTATTATTTTATTTTCCATAACAGATTCTGTTGTTTTAATATTACTTTACTTTCTTCAGTTCTAAGACATCTATTATATTTCTATAGTCAGAAGTTATGATATTGTCGTATTAAATATTGAGACAATTTTTTTTTAAAAATTATCTACAAAAAATATTTAGAATGAACAATATATTAAAAGCAGAGTTATTACTAACTTAACTTTAAAATTTAAGCAGTTTTATTTTCTTCTTAGTTGCTGAGTTCCCATAAGATAATATCAGAAAAATATAATACTTAAATCTGAATATGATTTTTGCATTAGATAATGTTTTTCAAAATATAAAAATAATGCATGCCAAAGAATATTACAAAAGGTTTTTCTGATAGGAAATATTGTAAGCCGATAGTGCCGAATAACAGTTTGTTTTTAAGTCTTGAAATATATTATGAAGTTTTGAAACTTATATTGTAATAATGTATTATTATGAAATATGTTTAGATTAAAAAATTCTACTCATATATTGGCAATTAAAATTTTCCAGGTAAATTACATTGAAGGAGATATTATCAATTTTAATTTCGTACAAAATTTTATANATATATATATATATGTTTCAAAAAGTAGTTATAAAACTGGAGAATGAATTGCTAGAATCTTGAATCAGCCATATATAGATTTATAATAATGGGGAATTAATAAATACTTATAAAAGAATTTCTTAGAATAAATGCACAAACTCTGTTTCATACGAAAGTAACTCTTAATAAGCACTAACGTAGATAGAAATCTAATTTAGGTAAAAATTTAGAAATTTATTGAACAAATATAATTGCAATTTAAAATATTTATAAAATATGATTACTAAAATGAAACTTAAAGAGCAAACAGATAACGTGAAACTAAGTAGACTAATGCATTTGAATACATTTAGAATGCAAATAAATATTTTTTAATGTTTTCAAAAATTACTTCTGAAAAGCTTTTTTGATGACGATAAATTAAGCTTAATTTATCATTAAATTATATGATAAAGTGACTATTTTTAACTTTTCGTGTTTTTCTGTATTTTAATTTTAATGGTTTTTAAAGTTTATTTAAAGAATCAAGAGCTTTGAAGAATACTTACAATAGAATAATATGTTGAAGAAGATTAAGTAAATGAATTTAAAAGTTCATTTGAAGATAATTAAATGCAATAGATTTAACTATTCACGAAATAAATTTTTATTTTTAATGATAACTTATTTTATGTTAAATTGAAAAATTGTAAAATCAAATTGAAGTTTCTTTTCTAAGTTCACTAAAGATTTTATCTTTTTTTTATGATTTTAATTTGTTTATTCAAATAATATTTGAAGCTCCAATATCAAAAAGAAATTCATTCTTAAATAAATTCATTTTTAAATAAACTAAGTATTTTTATTAAAAAACTCCAATTAGATGTTATGAATTTCGCATTCATTAACCTTTACTACTTATTAATTAACGTTTAGTTAAAAATCATGTTTTACATGATTTTTAACTAAATGTTAATGATTTAAACATTTAGTAAAAATCATGTAAAACAATATATAGCTGAATTTTCAGACATTGGATACAGAGATGAAATTTGTTTCCTTAAAAATAATGATAAAAATAATAACTTTGATTCCCTTTTACGGTGTTGATCTGAATATATCTTTTGAAGCAAAAATTAATATTCGTGTAAATATTTGATCTATTTTGCTTTGTTTTTGAAGAGACATTTCTCTTTTTTTATTGAAATTTGCAACCACTTTAGTTTTGCACTATCCAAAATCATTGTTAATTTAAAAAAATAATTTTCTACCTTAATCGTCAATAAATTTTCTTGACAAACTCCCTACTATGCATTTGTTCTAAGATTATAAATCAAAAATAAACATTTCTTTATTAAAAAAGTGATTATAGAATATGTGCTGTATTGTCAATTAACTGTTTCTTTGCATATAGTTTTAGGAGCAAACATTTGATTAACTTTTTAAAAATTACTTTATCTGACATTAAAGTCAAAAGTCAACATTTATTTTAAAAAAACTTAAACTGTTAGGAAATAATTATAATTTTCGTTTCATTATTATCAGTAATGAACTCAATATTATTCATTAATCTAAAATAATACTGAACTAAACTTTGAAGAAGTCTTGGAGAGCTGATTGTTTGGCATACTAATCGATGTCTTGTTGAAATCTATGTCTCCTAAGCATTCTTGTATAATCGAAAATAATCTAAAAGTGTTGATTATTTAATATAGTTGTAGATATCTTGCTAAAACATATAAAACAGTCTTATATGATAGAAAATAATCTATTAGAGCTAATTGTATAATGTAGTTGTAGATTCCTTGTTGAAACAAGTACCTTTAAAGCATTCTAATATGATAGAGAATAATCTTCAAGAACTGAGTTGGGTTAAATAGATAACTCTTAATGTTATCAACATATAAATCATAAATGATTACAAAATTTTCCAATAATAGTATGAAAATAGTTAAATTTTTATTTATAACTTATATTAAAAAAAACGAATATATAAAGTCTTAAATTTAAAATTCTTAATAATTAATTTGTATTTTAAAAAATTTAAAAAATTATAAACTATAAACTTTATTTTAATACATTTTCCTCTAAAGTAGTCTTATATAAAGGAGAATAATCCATTAGAGCTGATTTTCTAATGTAGTTGTTGATGTTTTGTTGAAACTTGTACCTTTAAAGCATTCTTATTTGACAGAGAATAATCTGAAAGAACTTAGTTGGGTTGATTACTGAACTTGTAATATCATCGACATATAAATCATAAATGATTAAATATTTCACAATTATAGTATAAAAATGATCATATTTCTATTTATTATTTATATTAAAAAAACAAAATATAAAGTCTTAAATTTAAAATTGTTAATAATTTATTTGCTTTATTACCTACTTTTAAAAAATTGTAAACTATATACTTTATTTTAATAAATTTTTAGATTTTGAATTGCAAATACTGTTAGTAATAATATAAATATTATTCATTAAAATGTTATAAAATTACAACAAACATCTGCGTAATGTTCGAATTGTATTTTAATCAGAGATTATTCGAATGCATTGGAGTGTTGATTCTATGTTTTAGTGTTAGATGCCCTGTTGAAACAATTCTTTTATAAGCATCCTTATGTTATACAGAATAGGTTGTAATTACAAGAGTTGAATTCTGAGGAGCACCTTCACTGCGTTTCTGCAATTTCAGTATTTCAGTTTTAATCCATCTGTAAGTTGTCTGAACTAGAAACTACTTATCAGCAAGTTACTCTATTGCACTCTGACTATGCGCTGTAGAAATATACTATGAGCTGTAGATGTAGAAAATTATGAATAAGCTATCAAAACGAAATTAGTATTGAAACGGAAAACTCAATCAACGGATCCATTTTGTCACTACTGCGAAAATTTCCTTTTATCCTCTATACGTGTATATTTTTGCAGTGAGTAAAAAATTACTGAGAGAGAGAAGGTTGAAATGGAATTATCACATAACATTAAACCAAAAATCATTGTTTTTCAATTCTCACTTTGCAATTAATTAGTTTTATCATATCATTTCTAAAGCCATTTATCGTTTTTACTACAGAGGAATCATGAATCAATAATTTGATTTTTTTTTCATCATGGTTACAGCCCTAGCACGTTCTTTTCGAATTAAAGGCTTTCTGTGTATGATTATCTTAGTTTCTTGTTTAATTTTTTTATCAATTAATACATCGTTTGACTCAGTCTCTATTAAACCAATTTTCAAATACTTAATTCACATCAAAAAGACAATATTGTATTATTATCAGCAAGCATATGATATTACAAGCATACGGCAAGCATTGATCGTTTTAACTAAAGAGGAATCATGAATAATTTAGATCATATTAGTTTATATGACAAAAAAAGCTAGTTTAAAGCACCAAAAATTAAAAAATACTTATATTTTATATCTAAGTTTTCAGTCTTATTCAATATTTTAAAGCAATTTCTTTTGATTTCATTAATGACCATCACAAAATTTATAAATTTATCAAAAGTTAATGAAGAGCTACACAGAATTCTTAATAACTTTATCAGTAAACAGTCCCCTAAATAAGCCCCTAAATAAACTAATTTTTCATTGGTTTTGTACATTCTTAACTTAAAAATATCATCTATAACTCAACTTATTTTCGAGTTTTTTTAAAAAAAATGTGATAACATTGCGTGTAAAAATGCTATATATACAAAAAGAGCTATTTTTTAAAAATTATTAGAAATTGCTATTGGAATTATTATAGAAATATTTGAATTATTTGAAATTTAATGAGAATATAAGTAAACGTCACTATGCACTAAAAGCTCGTAATTATTGCGTTATATTTGTTTCGTCATCTAAGATGAGTTTGAAATGTTATGAATGCATTCAAATTTTTAAAATTTATCTCTCACGAGAGGAAATAACATCAATAATTCCAGCTTAGAATTTTAATCATTTGTGAAAATGATGTGTGTAATAACATATACAAGAAAAGGAATTTTTTAAAAGAAAAATTTGAACTTATTAAATCTAATGTTAATTCAAATAAATTCCACAATGCATAATAAGCTCATAATTAATAATTTATGTATGTTTTGTGTTTAAAGATAAGTTTTGAAAGGTATAAATGCATTGGAACTTTTTAAATTTTGTCTCTTACAAGAGAAAGGAATGCAAATCTTATATTCCTATTTTAATAAGTTTCAATATCAAAATATATTTTGAAAATACAGTCGAAAATATATTTTGGAAAATTGTTAAAGATACTATAATGAAAGTTACAATGCTGAAACTCTATCGAAAAAAAATTTAAAAGCAGTTTTTGGGAAAAATTTTAACATTTCCCTCTAATCTTAAAGCAACTATAACGTGCTCAAATACTTCAAGATGAACTTATAAAATTTTAAATTATTCATGAATTATCCACATACTTTTGTTTTTCTTTTTCTGTGTTCAGTCTAAATCAAGGTCCAAACAAATTCGAAATCTTGCAGAAAACTTTTATCTTAAGAAAAGAGTTTTATGGGAAAAACAACTTCAAAAGGATATGAGTCATTTTTCTGTCTTCAGTCCTCTTTCTTCGCAATTTTCTTTAATTATTAAACAATATTTCAATAAAGCTGAATGAATTTTGTGACACGCAGAAAATTAATACTTATTGTAATTTGAATTTATACATAAGTTAAGAAAATAATTTGAAATAATTATCTTCTATCTTATAAATTCTTATTGCATGAGCTTAATGTTCCTACTTTTTACTTCTTTTCCTTTATATTTAATAAATTATATTTCAGAAAATAAAATTCAGCATTGAAATTTCCAAGCAGTAGTTTATGGAAATGGATATGTGAATCAAGGCCTGTGTAATATGCTATAAAAACGCTGGTCAAATACAGCAATTGACAGGGGAACTGTGGTCAAAGGCTTTAAGACCAACCATATTTCGTTCCTTAAATAATATACTGAAAGCATACTTTTATGATACATAAAAATGCTCTGCTTCATATGACTTAAAACAAAACCATTTACTTGAAAACTGTAACAATTGTCTTACAATTGGTTTTCCGTTACAACTATTTTAGGCAATTCAAAACAAAAAAATTGTTTGCTCTTAATTTAAAATAGTGAAAAGTTAGTTCTGTGGAAAATGGATGAATATATTTTATTTCTTACCTACATTACTGGTTTGATACCCATTCTTTGAACACGATTAAAAAACGTAAATAATCAATAAATCGTTAATTATCGAAACAACAAAAGCATGCACAAATCTGAATGACATATACCGACTCAATTAACAAAACTACAATAGTTCCATTTTTTTTTTTTAATTTTTGTCCGCTCAAGTGAATTTATGTTATAGAAAATTGTTTATAAAAATGACTTTAGAAGTTTAAATTAATTACATCAAAACAAAAATTGTAGACATTCAGATTATTCTGCATGATGTGTTGTTCAGGACCAACTCATTATAGTCAAAATTTACCGTAATAAAGCAAGTTTCTTCCGTACTTATCCCTTTAGGTAGGCCGTAAACACTCATACCAAATTTACATTAAAGCTCGTAGAAATTCTTTCTTTAAAGTACTACTTTAATGCTTAGAGATCTTGTAGAACTCATACAGGTATAATTTCCTTACGAAATAATGTGAAGTTTATGTTAAAATTTATTAAATTATTAAGGTTTTTTCTTTTTTTTCGTAACCACTTTTATAGCGTGCTAAAGCTGTGAAAAACTTGCAATATTTGTTTTTGTTAGAATTAGCTATTAATTTTTTAATTTTTTATGATTATTTAGATGTATGTGTAATGAATTTAAGGATTAATTATTAATTGTGTACTCTTTTTAATTTTTCAGATACAGCATCAAGAACGAACTTACACCAAATGGAAAAACGTCAACACTTACTGTGATATCACCAGACAGAAGAGATTCGTCACTCTTTTCCTGTACAGCAACCAACGCTTTTGGGAAAGATGATACAAATATACAAGTTCTAGTAGAAGGTTAAAAATTTATCACATTTTTAACAATATATAGTTACTGTACTTCATTATACTATTTTAATTCATTCGTGAGGAAAATAATTATTCTTGTAAATAATTTCAAAATCCAAATATATATTACTTCTTTAAAGCTTAAACTGCGATAATTAACTCCACTATAAAATTCATTTTTATTAAAGCAATAGCTGCCCATCATGATCAGCGGGTTCACTTTTTTAAATAAATAAAATTTCGAGTATTTCAAGATATGGAATCATACAATCGAAATTCCAGAAAATATCAAAGTTAATAAACATTAATATAAACTCATATTGCTCAAATGAGAGTGGATTTAGTTTTTGCTACTAACATGTTCGTTACATTTTGCTATACGGAAATTTTTAGATTTGACAAATGGTGAGTTTGTTGTTGTTAAAATGTTCAGTACGTCAAATGCAAACATTTTAAAGAAAACAAATGTGCTAATTAATCCAATGGTGATTTTGATGGACAATAAAACAAAATAACAATAAAGCAATTCAATATAAGCCTCTGTGCTCATTTGCTTTTGTTAATTACTTTTGTGTTAGCAATAGAAAGGTCTTATTGAAAGCCAATGAATTGTGTTTGTAGGAAATTTTTTCACTAAGACTAAACGTAAACAGCAAAAACTAAGTAAATGAGGAATATATATCAACTAAAAATTTAAAATCTGTCTTTACAACTGATTTCTATAGATGATTGAATTACTGATTCAATACTTGAAGCCCATTTTGGCGAAGAACCGGTATGAGTTTAAGTGCAGAATAACTAGAAATCTAGCATTATTGAGATTTCACGGGCCTCGTAATATTCAACTATTATTCATCAGTCAATTTTCAATGCATTGTGCATACCAATGCCTGTTCTTAGATATTTTATTGTTACTTTTAAAAAGTTTAATAAAAGCCAGTCAAGTAAAGTGTACTATATAAAAACACTGCTTAAAGCATACAAAAGTAAAACGGAAAATATAAAGTAAACTAAAGCGTTAAGTACTAAGTAATGTAAAGGGTGAAAAATAAAATAAAGCAAAATGTAAATAATAAATTCAAATAAAGCATAAAATTTAAAATAAAGTGTAAATAAAAGTAAAGTGAAAAGTAAACTTTAAAGTAAAATATTACGTAAAAAATTGCATAAATAAATAAATAATTTTTCAATCCGAAAAGTGAATGTTATAAATGTTATGATACTTTCATTTAAAGAATAATAAAGAATAAAAAGGTGTCAAAATTAATTAGTATTATTATTAGGTAACAAAATGCTTTAGTATTAGTGATTAACAAATGTAAACACTTAAAAAAAATTTCATAACCGTCGTTGAACAGCCGACCCAACTTTTGGGTTTACAACTACCAATGTAATTTAGCCTTGGTCCATAGCCTTTTAATTTTGAATAGGAGCCTGAAGACAAGAAATTTGCCNCTTCTTTTAATTTATTCTGAGGGGAAAAAATTTTTCATTAAATATTGTACAGATGAGGTTAATATTTAGAAAATTAAGTAATCAAATACAAAAAAAGAAAAAAGAAACGAAATAAGAACTGCACAAGAGATAGGACACTTAAGCAAAGCCAAGGCGAATGGAAAAGCTGACTGACCAGTGTAGAAACATAGCCAATGAGCCAATTCCTTGTCCTTGAAAACTAATTCAGCGCCAAACTAAAACACCTCCTTCTTCTTTGTACATTCGCTTTACTGAGAAGGTATTTATAAGTTAAATACATTTAAACATAAAAAACTTCTAATGAATGTTTCAAGCTATACTTTTCTTACTATGCAACATTTATTTATATTTGTACGCGCATTTAAACTGCAATTAATTCCAAAATAGTGAAGAACTACTTTTCAAAGGCGGAGTTTTACATTTCCTACCTTTCTCTCCAGTGCCAACTTAAGGTGGAATGGACTATAGTGATTAACAAATGTAAACACTTAAAAAAAATTTCATAACCGTCGTTGAACAGCCGACCCAACTTTTGGGTTTACAACTACCAATGTAATTTAGCCTTGGTCCATAGCCTTTTAATTTTGAATAGGAGCCTGAAGACAAGAAATTTGCCGTAAGTGGAGGAGTTTTGGATTTTTTAATGAAACTAACTCGCATTTGGGTAACGTTGAGAGGAAAGCTACGAAAATCTCCCATGGTTAGCCTAACGGCAAGGTGACTCTAACCCATGATGCGTCTACCACTGTGGATGTTTTACATCAGCACTGTGGTCGGTGCGAGCCGGGTACGGAATGAGGAGCATCCATGAGTAGGGTAATTGTGTAATCTTGATTATTTTGAATAGTCCATAACGTATAACTCTAGGAAATCAAATCAGTTAGTTCAAAAGTAACCTGAAATTTTTAAAATCATAACTTAAAATTAGCTAAACACGAAACTAACATCACGTGACTCAAAAACAGGCGGGGATTACTTATGACGTCAAAATCTACTAGCCGAATCTACTAGTCAAAACTTGTCATATGTCAAGATGTTGCTTACAAAAGAGTTTTATTTTAATATTTTTTATTCCTGCCGAAATTGTGTTAACTTTTTGATATAATGCAGGGAGAGAAGGATACTTGGTTTTGAGAATTGATATTTTTTATTCAAAAATATCGATTTTGTAAACTGGCCTATATTTAGAAATAAGAACTGCTTCAAAATTTTTCACCTTATGGTCCCTGATAGGAAATGGAATTATTTAAGATTTAGATTTAGTTCTTTACTAAAGATTCAAATAATTCTTAAACCCTTATTTATGCATTTTCAGTTTTTTTTTTATTCTTAAAAGTTTTTCTCCTGAAAAGCTTCAAAAAATAAATAATTATTTATTTGTAATAATTTTTCTTGTGCGTAATATTGAATTTATTCAAAGTAATAAACTGGGCGCAGAAGTTGTATTTCAAAATTTTACATCATTATTAGCTAAAATATGTTTGTAAGATGCACTTCGAAAAAGAAAATTCATACAAAATTTACAAAAAAAGAAGGAAAAAAAACTATAAAAACATAATAGTGAATTGTTATTATGCGTGTGTGTAGAAAAGTTAACGAATTTTAAGTGTGATGCAAATAAAGTACTATTTCTTCTTCAAGAATTAAAATGAAGTATGATTTTTTAATTTTCTTTTTTTCAAATTTAAATATTGCTAAAATTGTGAAATTTGTTTCAAAATTCGCTATTTTAGTGACAATGAATAAATTATAAAAATTGTTTTTTAAAATTTCAAAAATTACAGAAACGAATTGAAAACATGATTTTATTATAATTTGAGGAATGTTTTTTTTCTCCGGTTTAATTCTCCTTCCCCTTATGTGAAACTTTTTGTGGGTGCTCTTGGCAAAAAAAAAATAATAAATAAATAAAAAAAATCAACAAATAAATTGATGAATGACAAAAAAAAAAGTTTCAAATTGCTGTCCTAATTTATACCTTTTTTTAAATAACGTTTGAAGAGCATTATTTTTTTTTTATTAATGTTGGTTCATTTTTAATAAAATTATATATTTGAGAATGAATTGTTTAAAAAATTCCATGCTGGTTTGATCTCAGACAGAAGAAATGGAAATGTATAAGATTTTAAATTGAAACTTTTCAGGGAAATAACGTTTAAAAACTCTCTTTCAAAATGTCTCTTATTTCTTATTATTTACTTCTAAAATATTTTATTTAATTGCTATTAGAAGAGATGCAAATGATTTTAAGCACTTCCATTTTTTTATTTTAATTCTTTTTATATTTTTCCGCCACCCAACTACACAAAAATAAAATTTATTATTTTTAACTCTAAAATTTCGATTTCAATAAAATAAAAAACATAAGAACGTGTGTTTTAAATAACTAAGTTAAAGCAGAATGAAACGAAATAGGTCTTTTAAGGAAAAAAAATATTCATAAAAAGGAATAACCTGTACACGATTACTCTTTAAGAATAAAATCCTTTCATTTCAAAGAAATGAAAAAAAGAGAAAAGCATTTAAAAAAAATCATTTCATAAACATTTTATTTCAGCATAATGAATGATTCCTTCAGAGAAGCTTAATCAGAAGCAAAACATTCTAATAAAGTTAAAGTATTACTAACTGATATAAAACAATACTTGCTGTAAGTGCTTGGAGTTATTGTTGAGAAATTTAATCATTGTTCTACGAGCGATGGAATGCATTTTCAGTGTATGAGAAGGAGATGGGAGTCGTATTGTTCATCATCAGAGATGGGAAAACTGAGTTTTGGGGATCGTGGCTAAGTGATCAATTTTAAATATTAATTATTTTTTATTTCCAATGAGCTGCACAATCGGTCTTACCGATGAGCAGATCTAGTGCTTTCTCCAGAGGTGGTATCCACTCTTTCAGGACCACCACAATGGGTGAGATACCGTTGGTCATGTTAATTTGGACGTCTAGTTTCTGCCACACTAGATGGCAGCACCGAGACTCTATTTGGATGCTAAAGTGCACTAGGAATTTAATTTTGCCGGAAATGCCAAGAGCCAATAAGGCACTCCAGGGATCTTTTACATGCCGCATAATCACACGACATGGCCGCTGAGGATTTTCTGCATCCCGAAAATCCAGTGTCTGGACCCGCAGACTTGCGCTCAGAAGGCCGACGACAAACCAACTGCGCCACCCAGCCACTAAGATTAATTATAAAATAACTAGTTAACCCACTGAACTAAAATTGGTGTGTATCGTCATAAAAAAGGTTTGAAGTTTCATTTTAAATAATAAAAAATTACCATGCAGGCTCCTCATTCAATTCCACCAGTCATCGCTGAGATTTGAAATCGCTTCATCTTATTAGGAGGCGAGCGCTCTATCCCCTAATCCCCCACGGCTGAATAATCTATGTTTAAACTATCCCTGACGTCTAAATACAGTATTTCTTACTTTTTTGTTAACTTACGTTACCTTGCGTATTTGCTTCTAGCACAGTTTTTTGCTTTGGTATTTAAACTACGAATTAAGAGAGCTTCCATTAAATA